TTTTTTTTTTTTTTTTTTTTTTTTTTTTTTTTTTAGTGCTATGGAGCACCATTAGTGAGATGGCATATATCTATGCATGCTAGTGCTCCTGAAAAATGAGGCATAGCTGGCTGATTTTATAAGAGAGTCTTTAAACTTTAAAATAAGCCTTTGTTACAAAAAAGGAGTTTTATAAATGAGAAGTCTGACTAGATTTTTCCTTTGAGCTAATTTTTCCCCCTCTTCTGCTTTTTCCCATCACATTTCTTTGCCTTGAACAATTTTCAGGTTCTTGACCTACTATCCAGGAAGAAGAATCACAGCCGAGGATGGTTTGAAGCATGAGTATTTCCGAGAGACTCCCCTCCCCATTGAACCGGCCATGTTTCCAACATGGCCAGCAAAAAGTGAACAACAAAGAGTGAAACGTGGTACAAGCCCACGACCACCAGAGGGAGGCCTTGGATATAGTCAGTTGGTAGGTTTTGTGACCTCAGTACAAAATCAGTTAATATAGGCTCTCAGACTCCTTTCTTGTCTCCGACTACTAGTTTTGGGAAGGCTGGTAGACTATACTGCATCAGCATAATTGGGCCAGGAATCATTAGATTTAGTAGCAAGTGCAAGGTTCCTGTAGAGCATATGAGAGGAGTGTTAGACACTTCCTGTTTCTACTGTCCATATAAGAATAAGGGCCTTGCAGATGTTGGTCTGTTGGTTTCTGTTTGCCATCGCATAGACAGCAGAATCACTATCTTGACAGTAAGATCTGAGAGGGAGCAGACCCCTCTTCAAGCACAGTTCAGGTTGCTTTTCCCTTTGGAGTAAACCTGGCTTCCAATGTTGAGACCTGTCTCTTAAAATGAAAACTGAAATCCCCAGTTTGGCAAGTGGGAGGCAGTCAGAGGCAGAGGAAAGCTTCTCTGTTTCCTCTGAAGTCTGGAAGGACAAATCATTGGAAAAAGTTTTTGGGTGGGGAGGCTCTTAACATTGCTGGACTTTCTGCTTCCTTGTTTGCTAACTCTGGAGAAGCTGTAGTCATTTAGATTCCCTGCAAAGTTCTATCCAGTATTCCTCAGTTTCCCTATTCACTTCCACCTCTTTGTTTCTATTCCCCAATCCAGCATATGTTAGACAGTGTGATTTATCTGTTGTACCCACGGTGATTTTGATTATCTATGAACAGACTAGTGGAGGTCGCTTCTAAATGTGCATGACCATGCAGAACTCAATGGTGGGTGTCCAGACTTGATCTGATTTGGTGCCAAGCAGGGTAGTGTTTGCAAAAAACAGGCACTCAAGTATAGGGGTACAAAATAAGGAAACCTGTTGAGGTCTTTTTGGAAATAAAGTCCTGGGGTACTAATGATTAAAGGCCATGAATAAAAACTTAGCTAGAGTCCAGCTTGGAGGCATTAAATGGAACACTGCATTTCCCTCATTCTTTGGTTGCTCTGCTCTTACTATAGTGTTACACTCTGACCCTTACACAAATGCACACAATAAAACACCTGAATTGCATGTTGACTTTTTACAGGGTGACGATGATCTGAAGGACACAGGCTTTCACTTGACTACCACAAATCAAGGAGCATCGGCAGCAGGCCCTGGCTTCAGCCTCAAGTTCTAAAATTAGTGCAAGGAGATTTAAAAAAAAAAAAAAAAGAGAGGTACTGAGACAGAGATTGAGCGCTTTTGACTTCAACCGCGTCACTACTGGAAGTAGGTAGCCGGGTGTGCCAGTTCTGTTCCTCATATTGGAAAGGCACGATGCTTTTCACAGAAACCTCCAGTTGTCCGTCGCTGGTTAGAAGGCGCTTGCTGAGTGTGGATGGTGGCAAGAGAAGGTCGACTGGAACTGTG